TAACAGAGCAGTGCAGCCAGCATTGAGACATTTGGCTGTGGGACGCAGCTCAGTGAAGAATGATTGGCTTTGAGGGCCAGGGGAGCAGATGAGACAGGGACATGGAGCTGGACTAAAAGACTGAGTGTGCCCACTTGGTTTTCCATCAGGATATCACTTCCATACTGGTCTGTCTGTGCCTCTTAAAGAGTGACTCCACCTATACAAAAGGGGCTATTTCTGTATCGGCAGTGTTACGCCGACTTGCTCTTCATGGGACGTTATCTCTGCCTTTAGCTCCACCCTCTTAACATTAATTATGCAGCTCAATGCAGCACTCCAAATCCCTACTGCAGCTCACCCACACTACAATACTCCACTGCTTTCTCCCACTCTCTGTCTCTGTCACAACCAACCCACAAATGAGTGTTTCTCTCTTTTTCTCTTCAGGACTACGTTCTCAACGCTCCCTAGTCAAAGACAACATTTTCCTTCTGCGAATACAGACACTTTAGACAGGACAGAAACCGTTCTCTCTTCCCTTTGTACGACTTCATATTAAAAGCTGAAATGATTAAATGTGTGAAACATAAGTAGGTTGAACAATCGATTTCTAAACCACTGTTTTGATTTTTTGTACCAGGTGGCCTCATGAAAGAAATGTTTCAATCCAGAAATAGAGTAAGCAGCTGATGTTAATGGGTACATTTATAATGATTGCGAGTTGTATTACTATCTTTAGTTGCAGTGTGACTCACAAGCAGCTCATATTTATATTGTGTCATTTCCAAAGCCTAGTGCTGATTTTTCAGTGCAAATCAGAAGCAAACAGTCTGATGTGGCGAGGAAACACACTTAACAGCTCAAACACCTGTCTGGCAAGGTGTAATTGACTCAACCACTCCTGAGCACAATCACTGTTGTGTCACACTAAGCAGAGAGAGTCCACACTACGCAATCTGAATCAGCCACATCAGCAAAGTAGATGGAAACCAGAAAGCGTAGAATGGGAGAAGCTCTCACACTCCAGCCAACCACCCCCCAGGCAGGCAGTGGGATGGAAACGTTGCAACTGTTTATGGAAGCAGAAACAAGCTTTTCTTTCATTTCCTAGAGCTTTTCACATGATTAAGATTCATTTTACATTTGCATGCATGTGTTTGCATGTGTGCACGTGCATGTGTTTGAGAGTGACAGTGAGAGAGTATTACTTGCCTGGCCAAAAGCTGAATAATTAATCCTACAGAACTGAAGTGTGAGGCTACAGTTTAAGGTATTTATGCATAATGTACTCTGCCTGACATTAAACTGACTAAGGAGTGTTTTGTTTTGGGTTTTTGTTTTTGAGCCCACATCAAGTGAAGGTCTTGGAAGTTGTTTGTGGGACTGTTACTTCATATCTGCCACACATGCCTTCATCGAACAAATATGAAGCCAAAGGTATGCAAACTCCAGATATTTAAAGTTTTATCTGGCTTGCTTCCCTATACTTGCATTTAAATAAATTGCTCTCCTCTGTTTGCAAAGATGCTAGCTCTTGAACAAAAACAAACAGTGAGGCAGATGTTCCTAATGAGGAAAACATGGCCAGAGAAGGTGGGATCATTTAGTCAGTACCCAGCAAAGTGAATGTGCTATATGCTTACATAATCCAGGGACTGACTGTGAATTGACTACTCCCTCTGTCTACAAGGCAATGCGCTAGCAGGAGCAGGTCGGCTGTTTTGTCACATTCACCATGTTTCCATCGCTCTTTAAAAATCCGTGCATCACCAGACGTCAAGAATGAACACCGAAGAGTGAACAGCATTTTCTCAGGTTGCCGTTCTCCAGCAGGCAGCCCTCTATGCTGTGCTGCTCTGCTGCTGCTGCAGGGGTCTTTTCAGTGCATGGAACCGGATGGTGAACAGAGAACACAGCGGGGGCTGGGCACTGCAATGTACTGCAGTGCTCGTAGCTCTGCTATGCACACCCACTCTCTTCCATTCTTGCTCTGCCTCTGACAATCTCTCAATCTCTTACTCTATCTCTCTACCCTTCTCTGGCCAATGGTTGTATCATTTGTCTTCCCTCATCTCTTCTCTTCAGATTCGTTATGTGCTTTTCCTGCCTGCTTCTCTCAACACTCTTATGGTTGACTGCAATCGATATTTCCCTTGCTGTCTCTTATATTGTTCTTTTAAACTACCCTACCCTCTGTTTCTCACATGGACATAGACATGCACATCTATAAGACTAATACATATATACATCAAATAACCTTTACCTGGAGAGTTATCTTAGCCTGCTTCTAACCCCATTATTCCAGACTTCCATTTTTTCTCCAAATGGAGTAGAATATCTATAATTTACATCTCTATATTAGCAGTACAAGTACACATACACGCAATGTCATTGGCACCACTTGCTGTGTTTATCAAGGTGTCATTATAGCATCCCCAAGAGAGACTGCTCGGCTAAAACATCTGCAGCATCCTCTATTTGCATCGGAATAATCTAAACAAAATAGCCTGGTGAGTTTTTACAGCACCTCTTCTTATCCTGAGATGGGCAGTTTTGAGATTGTTGCTAAATGTACAGTGACAGCCGTTGTTGCTCCGCTATGTTGCCTCCACCATCATTTACAGGGGCACACTAAACGCCCATGCCGCACAGCATGGGACAGAGGATGTCACGCTTGGAGGATGAGCAATGACAAGCCCAGCAGCTGGTCCCTTCCCCCAGAAACTTCACAACTGTTAGAAACAGTTACGCTAATGACTTACATGCAGTGTTTACAAAGTTATCGAGATAAACCTTGCAGGCAATTTGATTATGAAACAAGAAACCTCTTTCAAAGCGCTTACACAAATAAATACAAGAACATGACCGCAAATGTTTTTGGCGTGACTCATTCCATCTACATTCCATCTAACAGCAAAAGCTTAACCCTCCTCCATCTCCCACACTCTGCATTTATCTTCAAGATGCTGTCTACTTCTTGGAATGGTGAGGGGTTTCATATCTATTTCCCATTAAAGAGCAGAGGTTTCTGATCATCACTTCCTGAATGAGTTTTACAGTCTGGCAGCAGCATCCTGCAGAGACACTTTTGTGGTCGCTTCATAAAACAAAGCTCTGTGTCACAGCAGGTGTCAGAGCCGTATGAAGAAAAGTCATTGCATGTAATTTTCATTTTTTTTGCAAGCGATTTGTAGAAAACATAATTAATTGCTAGCCACTGTTAACTGGAACGATGTGTTGTTTCTCTTTTAATAACATTGTCATTTGGATTTTGGGTGATCACTCAATAAGTCCATGTAAAACCCATTTGTCAAGCTTGAAATATCTTGCTGCTGCAGTCGGATTGATGGAAGGAAAGCTGAACAAAATCTCAGCGCTGACACTCCCATCTAGAGCATACAGCAATAATACAGGTAGACAAGGCCGGCCAAAACATTCGGCCAAAACATTCTTTTTTCCTTTTTGTGTGTGTATTTTCTTTTCAAAATGAAACTGTGAAGAAGCCACTTTTCAGTTCCTTCACAAAAACACAGCTCTTCTTAAGGTAAACTGTGTTCCAGAAGAAGAGAGGTGTATGAATAATGAAGAAGCAAAGCCACACAGCCATTGCAAACGTCATATAACAATTTAGAAAATTTAACCAGGCAGGGTATTACATCAGCTAACCAAAGATAATTAGGAATGCCCATTAGCCTTCACTAAATATTGGTTTGCTTCAAACTTTATAAAGGAAGGTCTTGCAAAAGGTCCCTGCTATGTGCACTGTCCATGGTGCTGAAACAGATTACATTTTCTTCCCAACCCTCTTTGTACCCCTGTATATAAGAAAGTCTTGAAAACTTGAAACACAAATCTACATTATGATCGGGTTTAGATGTATGTCTCGTGCTTATAGCTACTATCAGAGTACAAGGTACGAGCTTCACTTTTAACTAATATGAAAACACAAAAAAATGCTCATCCAGTATATTCAGCATCCTCATACACAACACGTTAAGTCCATCTATTATTTCTCCCTGCTCTGCAGCAGGCCAGTGTTCACAGACATTTTCAGCAGAGAAAACACATAGTGCCCACTGCTGGACAACATCACATCTTCATTCAGAAATGATCAAGGTCAGATATACAGAACAGAAAGGAGGATATACTAAATTACTGCAATTTCTCTTAAATAAAAGAATGAAATCATTAATATAAAAACATATAATTATGAATAACCCTTTTAACTGTACGTCAACTTACTATCCTTTGTTGTTTGAGCTAATTTTTAACAATAATAATAATTCATAATATTATTTCTATCTTTTTGTGTTTCTTTAGTACACTTTAGTCAGTTCAGCCAATCAGAGAGCCTACTTTTGCTGCAGGCTTAGACTGGAGGAAGTCCCAGAGCACCGGATAAACCAAACAAAAACTAATCGCCGGTCTCAAACACTATCAGAGCCAATTCAAGCTGTTATCTAAGCAACCCCACTGACACTCAGAGTACACAACGAGAGCGTGCAGGATAAAATTATAATGGGCTGACGTAGTCTTTTTACCACACTAAGCTTATCATAGTGTACCTATTCACAATATAAGTAGCAAAACTTCACTTATCCCAAACCGGGATAGGTGAAAACGAGGTAAAACTGTGAGAGCAAATTTGGGAAGCTGGTAGCTGGTTTGGGTTGCTTCATCCTGGCACTGTCTGGATGCTGAGGCAGCTCTGCACAGGGATGTAATGGGATACTGCAGCACTAGAGAACCGTGTGCACAGAAACTTGCCTAGGAGCATCAGGGAGTCCCACACTAACCTTCCCCCTCCCTCTTTCTCTCTCCTTCTCCGTTTTCATCAAATATTATGCAAAAAAGAAATGGAAACAAACAGAGATCCATGTATGCATTTAAAAGGGAACTGTGTGTGAAGAACTAAAACAAGGAAAAGAATAAGTACACTCACTAACAGTGAACACAGAACACAACTTCAGAAGTGAAATAATCAGGCATGCTTGCAGAAGGAGAATGCAGCTGTTTACCTTTTGTGCAGGTTGCTCTCTCCTGGACACGGAGTTCTTCCCCCTTCTCTGCAGATTCCCAGACACTTTGAGATAGAGAGAGAAATAATCAATCTCTTCTTACTTTCTCTTATTTCCAATTTCAGAATGAATAAGTCAGGAGTCTAACATAGCAGTGTAGACACACCTTTACTCTGTAAACTCTGACACACACACACACACAGACTCCCATTCAAATGCACCCCAAGACTGGAGTACCCAAATTGATAAAGATCTGCTCAGGGGAGGGATAAAAACTACACACACTCACACACTGCAGTTTTTTTTTTCTTTCTCTTGCTCAGCCGCTCTGCTGCTTTTTTCCTGCTGTCTTTGCCTGCACTGCTTCCTGATTGGCTAAGCTGCTCTTCAATAACATAAGCTCTCCTCTTTAATTGGAAGGGAGCCAGTTATGTGGTGCACCAGAAGCCCTCCCGCCCAGCTCATCTCTCTTTTTTTTTATTCCTTTTTTTCCCTAAGTGCCTGTGGAAAAGAATGCTGAGCTCTGCAATTTCATACGCATTGAGCAAAGAAAAAAAGGGACGAGGATGGGGAGAGTTTATCAGCGTTTGTGCGTGTGTGGGGGGGGGAGTGGAAATGAGGGAGAGCAGCGGAGGCGAGCCAGTGTACTGCAGTGGGACAAGCAGACGTTGCATGGGAACAAAGAGACAAGGGGGCTATAAGGTGGGGTGAGAACAGATTTCGCTGCACCGTCCAACACCGGCAGCACGTTGACTGTGACAGCAGGTCAGATGAAGGGAGATTTCCCTGTGCTCACTGCAGCACAGCTAGGTAGCTCTGCTGCAGTGTGGAGTCTAATTCCCAGGCAGGAAGGGGGATGGGAAGGAAGGAGGAGGAGGAAGAGAGAGGAGGCTGGTTGCAGTGATACCAAAGTCTCCCAGCCAGCCTGGATATATGGGAGGAAATGGGCAGCCATCCGCAGTGTGCACAGCGGTTAATGCCTTTTCTTCATGAATTATTGAAAGTGCCCCAAAGGAGAATGGGAGGCTAGCAGGCAGCACACTGTTCAAGCAGTCTCGCCACTACTGACGTTCGCGTTAATTACCAGCACCTGAAGTGAATATCATCGCACAGTTAGATGAAGCCCCCTTTAGAGATTGCAATAAAATATCTTGAATGGAAAATGTATGTCATTACCTCTCCCCTTTCCACTTGAATTTCATCATGCGTTAAAAGGCTTTCCCATACTGGAGAAAATGGATGTGCAGGATTGACTTTGTGGTGTCAAATTCCCTGCTCTCTTTCACTCACATCTGGTCCATTGTTCCTCGGCTGCATTAAAGCACAATACCCCAGCAGATCAATAAAGAAGCATACAATACCTTGAGCATTTGCAGTGGCCATGATGAGCACTCCAGAAGTTATATGATGACCAGAGAGAAAGGCACTGTTTGCTCAACCAACAATGTAAATGCTTAGTGAAAGAAGGGCGAGATAAAGAGATAACTGACGCTTTATACTCAGTCCCGTGGTATAAAACACACCATATGAGATATTAAACTGAGTTCATCCGGGTTCATCTTAATTTAGTGATGAACACAGATTAAAATATTTTGGAAGTAGTCCCAACAGTCATTACAAAAAGGTTCTATAATAATACCACTACTAGTTGGATATGAGCTTATGTGGGTTCTTTTATAAAAAGAAAGCTTTATTTTATTTAACAGAGAAAATAACATGTTTCCAACTTTGACAAAAAAAATCTCCTTGGCTTTATATACATCAGTATTTCAATAATTAACATTTCCATGAATCATCTGCGTCTGTTTTCCTTCATCACTGTGGTCTCTTCTTTCTGAGGAAGACTGTAAACTGTGATGGAGATGTCTGTGTGTTTGAAGACCTGATCCAGTATCTCTGACACGCTCGTCCACTTGAGTCGATCCAGGCCACAGCCGATACTGTCAGAGAAATAGATAAAGAATTTAACTACCACAGCAACTTAATAAATGCCACAATTAGTTGCTTTTAAAATGAATTTGTTTATTATTATTTCTCTCAATTAAGGGTCACAAAAGAGAAAAGAAATTATACAAACCGAGGCATCGATATTCTTGATACTTGGTTCTTCAGGCAATGTGACCTCATGTCCTCCAGGCTCTGTCTCAGGCTGTCATAGGTGGGTTTCTGGCTTGCCTTTTTCTTTGTGATCTACAATAAAGTAATAGAAAAAACAACATTTCATTGCACTAACCACAACAGCTTTTGGATAAAATCTCTCGATTTGTCTAAAAGTGTACATCTAGTGAAGTTTAATCAACATGTGTACCAGATAGTAGACAAAGCGTCCATCGCTTTTCAGTACGGCACACTGTCCTGTAACTTTTTCTGTTTGAATTATAAAGAATAGAAAGACAAAAAGAAATATAATATCCACATTAGAACAAAGCTTGATAAAAAAAAAAAAAGATTCATAAATCTCTAGACCCTTAATAAAAACACCGGAAGACACACACACACAAAAAGTTAGAAAGTAGAGTTGTTTATCAAAAAGTTTACTAGCCTGAGAACCAAACAAATCCAAAAGCAAAAACTCATGTGTCATTGCTGTGGCACAAAGTGTCTGGGCACTATCCTGTTCAAACACATCCTCCCTCTAATCTGCCAAGACATTTGATGTAATACTAGGCCTTGTTTGACACAAACATTTTAGAGAAAAACTGACGTGCCATTTTTAACAATTAATATGGAAAAACAAAAACAAAAGAGCAACACGTGTTCGTTTCAAGTCAGTGTTACACCATCACAGCTCATCTGTGATTGTATTGCACCAACTTGGTGCAGGGTCTCTGAAAACTCCCCAAAACTTTCACATGTTAAGGCAAAATTATTCAACCTATTCCTCACTTCATATGTTCTCAGAAACAAAGTTCAGCAAGTTATTTTTGAAACATAAGACAACGTTTCCAAACGAGTCAGCAGATGGGTGTTTGCTCAGTTTTAGGAGGTTACACAAGAGAGCGAGCACCTGTCAGTCATCCATTATGACGCTGGTGAGTGGCACGCCCAGCAGGATACAAATACAAAGTCACATTTACACATTTGTCATACGATACTACCTTGACTTTCTGTAAGAGTGAATGTGTGTGGAAGAAAATGAGTTAATGTGTACACAGAGTCAGACAAAATTGATACAATGTGATACTCTCAGACAGTGTAGAAAAAACTCCTAACTGAGGCTGTTACAAAAGGAAAGCGAGTGAGGAGGAGGTTAAAGGCTTTTAAAAAAAACTGTGTCCATGCTGGTAAAATGATCACAAGACATCTTCATCCCTGATGAATCTTTAATGAAAGGGTTGACTCACTTTGCTCTTTTAACTCAGTCACCCCTTGAAACCTCTTTCTGAATTCCACAGCTATGCCTGCCCCCATACGGATGTCCTCGCTGATGCAGTGGGCCAGAGCTTCACGCGCAGGGCAGGAGAACAGGTCCCCGGTGACATAACTCAGCCTCCACTTGTGTTCTGCAGGCTAACCAGGAGGGGGCAGCATTACACAATGTCGTGAAGCATAACGACGGAATAACAAATACAGTAAACACTGGTGTCTTGACGGAGAAACCCCAGAAACTGAAGTTTACCTTAGTTGTGTGGGTGCTGGCCGACATATGAGGTTCGGACGACATTGACAAGCGAGGGTAAAGCACTTGCAGGGCGATTTAATTTGCTGTTAAGTATCTTGAACACACACTACAAACACACGGAAGTATCGACATTCAATTTCTGCTGGAAGACCTGTTTGCTAGTTTGCACAGTACGCTGTGCGCTACTACAGTCGCTCGTATGACTTAAAAACTGCTACCTGCAGAAAGCTGTTTAACTTACGTATATAACACCGTTCTCGGAAGGTTAGTTGGTTTGGAGGTGTATGAAAAGCTGCTACGTAACATATCGTCTCGCGAGAAATAGCGAGACCTTGTGGACGATCACGCCTTCGGAATGTGAAGGTTTGTCAGATACATATGCAAAACGAATATTTTAACTTTTTCATTAGAATAATTGCAAAGCATACTTTAATAGAACCCCATTTTTAACGCTATACACTAATGTTTGTGTTTAGAAGTCTTTTATTCAACGCCTATCAATAAAAAAGTTGGCTACTTCCTGTGGTCTCCTAAATTTATTTGGTGTTTTATGTTTTAAGAAATTCACATTTGACATTTATTGTGATTTATTAATATGTTTATTGGATAACTCTTTTTTTTTTTGCTTATATTATTACATATAAGAAAATAAAGCAAGGGCAGACAAACAAAACCTACATCATCATACGCAGCAATAAATGAAAGCTTGTGAAAATCTCAGCACTGATGTGGACATGTATCTAAATATGATACAACAGCATATAGCACGTTAGCAGTCAGACAGTATCAGTGTTTTATTTTATATACATATAAACTGCAATATACACAAAATCACAATATGAATAGTTACACATCAGGATTGTGCATGACAGACTGACGGTCTGTGCTTCCCCCTAGAAGTCCGCACTACGGCGTCGCTCATTGAGCCAGTCTCCGGGGTTCACATCCATCTGCAGCATCTTCATCACCCACTTGTCCCTCCGTGCTCCATCGATGAACTCATCCAGTGAGAGCTCCCCTAAGTGACGCAGGACAGTTATTCTTAGTATACATTTCTTCATTCCTGATAGATGGCCATTGTAAAGCTTGCACCCACCTATCCTTTTAATATAAACAAGCAATAACGAATACGCATACAATTTTACAATTAGTGCTTCACAATGCCACAGGCATTTTAAATCATCCATGGAACATTTTAAGCCGTCAGAAACCATTGCAAACACTCACCATCCCCATTTTCATCAACCAGCTCAAATATCCGGTCAACCACTTGGTCTGGGGTCAGCAGATTACATTCTTCATCCAGCTCTCCATGGCAGGCTTTCTTCAGCCGATAAATAGACTGAGAGTTACAGGAAAATATGTTACAGTGACTCCTTCACTGACTAAAGTTCATTAGTCAGTCAATTCAGCTGCATAATATCAACTATGCAGAACGCATGGAGACTTTAAAATAGTAAATATTACCTCCACAATTTCTAGAAGCTCTGTTTTGTCGATGCACCCGCTTCCATCTTTGTCATACATTTTGAATGTCCATTTAAGTTTATGCTCCAGTTTTCCCCGAAGGACTAAGTTCAAAGCTGCCACATACTCCAAGAAATCAATGGTGTTGTCCTGTGTGCACACAAGGTTCAAATGTTGTGAAGGAATACAAGGATGTGACTAAGAACCTAAATGTTTACTTCAGTGTGGACTTTAACCTGTCAGAGAATAGGGAAAATTATCCATTATTCCTAGAGCTAAGCTGAAACATCCAGTTTGCTTGCTGTGTATACCCTGAAAACCCAAAAAGTATTCTCAGTGAAATTGATACATGAGCGTTTATGACATTTTTCCTTACTTGTACAAATTAAGTTAGCCCTCAAAATTGCTGCAAATGAGTTTTCTGCCCTTCAAATAATAAAATGATAATGGGCATCAGCTGAAACAGCCCAAGCAACCTTCCGAATCAACAAATGTGTATTAATATCTTGTCCTGCTGTGTAGTTTGGTAACAATGTTAAAATGAGACAGAACTGAAGTTTGTACTTACTCCGTTTTTGTCAAATGCTCGAAACATGTTTTCAATGTAATCTGCAGCTTCCTTGTTATGAGTAACGCCAAAAAAACTCTTGAACTCGTGCATAAACAGCGTTCCACTTGGGCATTCCACAACAAATTTTTTGTACCATTCCTGCAGCTCCGCCACATCGATTTCCTTGTCTTGGTCACTCTCTTCACTCAGGCGTTGACCCATGTTGGTAATATTTTTATTCTTGCTGAAAATCACAAATATTATCTCTTACATTACACAAATCTGGTTTGACCTGGTTACATTTTTTAAGCTTCCACCTACATTACAAAATGAAAAAAGTGCTCAGTTACAGAGTCAGTGGCTGCAGCTAAGTTTGTGCAAATCAGCAAAAACCAAATTGACCAATATGGCATGAAAGTCCATAGAAGCTGAATTGTTATTCGGCTCTCAATTGTGGCAAATCCTTACTGAAAGTGAGGATGAGACACAGACTGCTATGGATCACATGATAAAGGATTAGAAATGAACACTTGTCAAATTCAATTAGTCCACAGCCAGATTATGAGAAGATTGTGCTGCTGCTTGTATCTATACTAAACTAGAAGAAAAACAATACTGTGTGTAAAAGTTGTGGGGGAAAATGACATAAAAGGGTTTTAAGGATCTCTGATTTCATTCAATTTTCACAAATTAAAATGTATTATTATTTAATTATATGATTTAAATTTACTTTAAGGCATAAAATGCCAAAGCTAAGGCCTAAAGTCTGTATAGTGTATAAAAGTTTTGAATCGAGTGATTTAAGGCTTTACAAAGCAGAGCTAGAATTCAAATTTTAGTTTTTGAGGTTATATAATTAAGGGGAAAATCAAATGAATTGATAGAATGATCAAACAAAAGGTCAAGCACATTAAAATAAAGTATTACCTGTGGACTAATAGGTAATCTATTCCAAAATAGAAAGCTCCTGACCCGTCTGATAACTCACTCAGCTCAGTCCTTTAGTTATCCCTGGAAACCCTGACCTTCAGGTGCCAGGTAATTAACTGGTACCCTGATTACTCTATGAATGCCCACTCTAGTCTTACTGAAGCCTATAATAAAATTGTTGTCACTAGTGATGTGCATTTAAATCCACCTCATATCTCAAAATAGAAATTCTATTTTGGAAAAGGGTCAAACATCAAGCAGGCTTTTGTTGTTTTGGTTTTTTTTGAGTAGAAAGCAGACTTGGAAACAGCTATACTTTTTCAATAGAACACCAGCATTAGCAGGGTCTTATCTTTTGTTTATAGGTAAAAACATGGCTTGGCCCATTTCCTTCCTGGCTAAAATATGCGCTGACAACAGGAATAGTGATAATCTTAGCTTAGAGGTTTCAAGGCCATTGAGGAGTCACTGGATGATATCCTTGCACGATTAAAATGATTCACACCTCCTGTCTTACACAAGAGATATTCCCCCTCACCCAGTCATCGTACAAAGGCTTTTACCTGTGCTGATCACCCGTTTCTACACCCATGCCTGGCAGTTTTCTGTAATGTATTATATATATATATATATATATATGTATTTGTGTGTGTGTGTGTGTGTGTGTGTGTGTGTGTCATTGTTACTTCTAGAGTTTTAGCTTAGTAAAATAATGTCACAGAACTGCTGCAAGCTGGTTATTTTCTCTTTTTTATACCTTTCTCTATAAACTATAAGACTGCAGGGGAAGATCCCAGTAGATCAGCAGTTTCAGAGCAGCCTGTTTAGCAACAAAAGTCAGTCAAATCACCCTTTCTTCCTATTCTGAGACTTGCTTTGAACTTTAACAAGTGTTCGTGACCAACTCCAAATGCCTCAAAGACATTTACATTAAACATTTGCACCTATTAATGTGGCTGTTGAAAAACACTATTCTATCAAACTCATGTTTTAGCTAAGGTTATGGTGTACCACCAGCATATAAATAAACTATGCTAACATTGACATATATATCGCTGAAAGCAGAAAGTTTGAGTGGAATGATTTCACAAGTGTGACCAAAATGCTAGATATCAACAGATAGGTGATACAGACAACAACTGTACATAAAATTTCGTATTTTTCTCTGGGCTAAAATTTTATGTCAGGAAATGTTTCTATTCTCATAACATTTTGAGTGCAGCTAAACAATAATTCCCTGGACACAATTGTTGTGTTAACATTAACCCGGATAAGCAACTCCCTTAACACCAGCTGGGCAAAGTACGGTACACTTCAAATTTCAGCATTTATTGCTTTCCATGAATACTATGATACAAGCGCAAGCCTTCAGTTTCCAGCGATGATCAGTTTTACAAAGGCAGTGGACATTTATTACAAGTCTACAAAAACTGATTTACATACTGATACATACTGTAAAAATTCCTAATTATCAAAAGTGACGACTGTAAACTAAGGTATGACATACATACAGTGTAAAAGTACCTTGTATTCTGTTTACAGGGCTTGATGCAGAAATGGCTACCCTTAAGCAAAAGCAATATTCTATCTAACCAAACTGGTTACTACAATACCGTTTTATACTGGCTTCATAGAATGAAAACCAAAACTATAACATTTTCCACATCCTTCAAGGGGTCAAAGCTGACAAGTGCAAGATAATGTTAATAAGAAATATATTTACGGTATGTGCTTCATAGAAAAAGCAAACAGAAATATGTGAAGCATTGCTTCACATTCTATATGGCAGGTGTCCTCGTTCACCTTAAGAGACACATTCATTAGTGAGATAGTCAAAACAACTGTGCTTAGGCTAAAACAAACTCTATCAAACATATCTTTATGGAAATACATGCCGAATGAATAATGAAAATTCAGAGTACATCAGTTACATTAGTTATTAGGGTTCAATTATTACGTTCAGATATAAAAATCAGGGAAAAAAGATTAGAAAAACTTTTAGTCAACAGTGAAAAAGGCAGTCTCCATAATCTTCTTTTACATCCATGCCTTCCAGTTTAAAGACCAGGTGATGTGAGGCCTTGAGAATTGAAACTGATTAGGACAAAAAGATCCTTCTGTGAGGAATCTAGAGGTTCACATCACTCTTGGTCCTTACAGGTCCACAGTGCTACAGATATACCCTTGGTGTGGTATCATACAGTGTAAAAAAGAAAAAAAAAATTCAGATGGCAGACAGGCCTTGAAGTTAGTCAAGTTCCCCAGGCTCTATTGCAGTCTCTGCACTGTTTGAAATGCCAGCAACGCCCTCTGTTGACAAGTCTGGTGAATTACTGGAAGAGGGTATCTGCTTGTCACTGCTTAATAAGTCATCTCCATCGCTGCTGTTTCCTTCCCCACTGTCCAGCTCAAAACTTTCCTCTGATGGAACAGGCTGCTCAGATTTGTCCACAGTGCTATCG